TGAAGATATTTAATCCTCTCATTTTCAGATTCCCTTGGAAGTCTAGATGTTAGAATTTCCATTTTGGATTTGTCATTTTCTTTAATATAGAAGGGATTAATGCTGGAAGGAGATGATCTATTTCTTGTCTCATAGGTAAATTGTTCTGTGATATTATCTTCTTTAATTTTTTCTGCAATCTCTTCTATTTCTAGTTGATCTTCTATTTCCTTGTCACCCATTTCTATTTCAGTATTACTGGGAATTTCTATTGTTATAGTTGATTGAATATCTATATTATTTTCCAGATCTATATTATAAGAATTGTCATTTATTGTAGATTGGGTTGTTGATATTTCATAAGAGATGTGTTGTGTTTGTTTCTCCTGTTCGATTAGATCAAAATATTTATCTTTTAGATATGGTGCTAGAAGATCTTCATCTTTCCCTTGTCCTTGAGTCCACAGATATAAGATATGTTGCTTAAGAATTGTGACTTTGATAAAGGTAGTCTAATCGACATTTAGAATTCGGGCGATAACACTATCCAGAATTGAGTATCTGTTTGGTTCAGGGTTAGAGTCCCGTATAGATTCTGGAATAGCAGCTATATTGAAAATAGCTTGTGTTGCTCAAAGTTTTTTATGTTGATCAAATTTGTTTGATAGTCGGATCAGTGTATCCATAATATGTGCTTCCATCTTTTTCATCACTTGCATTATCCTATGTCTTTTCATTATCATGTCTAGATCACATGATATGAAAAAACTTATTGACTGTTTTGATAGATGATGTAATCTAAAGTTTACATATCACTAAAATAAGCTGTTGTTGTTTTGCTATCGCAGATCTTATTTAGTGATGATTGACTTTGTTTATCAAATCTAAAAATATATATGATATGAGGGATTGTAAACAAAACACATTTGTTTTGGAGTTTATATTTGTTACGTGTGCTTGTTGTTGTGAAAACACAGACATAACAGATTTTGCGTTATGTATTTTTTTAGATGTAATCAGTTGTTGTGTTGTTTTTGAAACTCTATCCTGTTGAGCAAAAGAGGCTTGGATGTCCTCCTAGGTGTTGTAAACCTTGAACTTAAACTGATTTATCAGCTTGAGTTATTGTTTGCAAGACTTCTCTTGGTGTCAAGAAAGGTATTACCCTGCACTGGCCTGGCTAAGAGCTTGTGGAATTGAGGTTGGGCCTCAAGAAGCTTACTGTAAATCAGTGTTCTTGTGTTTTTCTTTTCTCTGTAAAGAAAGAAACTTTGTGTAGAAAAGATAGATTTTCTTTAAATCTCCTTGATATTTGTTGCTGATTGATTATATATAGTATGAAGCTTGCTTGAGAGCAAAAGTTTTTGTATGTAAAAGTGTTTTCTTGTGTATGTAAAGCTGGCTTTTCTTGTTTTTCAATAAAATTACCAAAAAAGAAAATTTTTAAAAAAACTGGAGATCGATGGAAAGAGTTGATTTTGTAATTAAATGATAATAAACTATTCATTAAGTCTATTTATTTAATAATAAATATGAATTTATAATTAATTGAACAAGTCATTATATAAAATCAAATTAGAATAGGTTATTATTAATGTTGCAATATTAAATATATTTAAAAATATTTATATAATTTCATCAAAAATGTTCAAACTTTACTATCAATAATTAATTACAAAAAAATTGGACTTACTTAAAATAAATATATTATTTATTTGAATAAAACTTTAAACTGATATAAACTTCTATATAATTTTATTGCTTAATAAAAAGTAATATTCAAAATACTCTTTTAGTAATTAAGCAATATATATAATAGTCTAATTATATAGTTATTATTTAAGAAAACTATTAAATATTATTTAGAATTTCAAACAATTGTAATAATAGTATCTATAGAAAAATCTATTTCAAAATTCTTACTATTATTATGATATAGTTAAGTCAAACATATCTATAAAATTTTTCAAATCAATTTAAATCAAATTTATTAAACAAAGTTTTTGTTTGTAAATTATTTCTTTAGAATAACAAATAAAATTTATTAAAATAATTTTATTTATTATATAAGAAAGTTATCTCAAAAAATTTTGTTTTTTAAAAAAAGAAACAAATAATAAAAATAGTTTCTAATATTATCAAATAGTTATTTTTAATCATAATATTTATTTTATTTTATTTTATTTTATTTTTAAACTGCAACTGATATTAGATGCAAGCTGTTTATTGATAATTAAATCTTAAGTGTTACATCAATCATCTCATACATATATATGTAGATTAATGATAATCTATCGCGACTTGTCCTAGGCAGACCTGCTTGAAACCCCCCTGTAGGTAGGCACGCCTGACTAGGGGCCGGATGGTTGATAACAGTCATCAACAGTGATGTTGATATAGTTAGCTAATTCTGTTAATAAGGGACTACACTACTATACTAATTTATATACTGGTGTCAAATCCTCAAGGGTTAATTTAATCACCCAGATACCCTGATACTTTTTACTTGAATCTCGGAAGGGATTTCAATCTTCTTTGTCACAACTTGTGGCATCACAGACAAGTCCTGTTCAACAGATCCTTTATTTAAGCAAACACCGGATTGGGATATTCCAAGTTAGGGTGATTAGATTCCAGATTCTGCTGGTACAGTTTGGAATAGGGAATGTTCAGACGATTATCGCAGTCCTAAAAGCGAGGTCCCAGAGTCTGCTGGTACAGTTTGGGGTTAGTGTTATGTTCAGACGATTACTGCAGTTCTAAAAGTGGGGTCCTGGGTTTGTTTCCTGTCCAGTTCAAGGAGGGTTAGGTCGGACATAGTTCATGTAACCAGACCAGAGACCTTTCTTCATGCAATCCTCGCGGTAGATCCTTTTCAGCCCGGCGATCAACAGGAAGGTCAGAAGTCCTATCCTCATGCAACCTGATTATTTTTTCACAGGGTCCTCGTGTGGTATTGAACTCTGGACCTTGTGATTGTGACCTGGGAGCACTACCACTGTGCTATAGACCCACAGGTCTTCATAATATTTATTTTATTTTTATTTTTTATCTATTTATTTATAATTATTTCATTGGTATTCTTATTGATACTCAATTAGTATAAATTTATAGTATGTAATATAATTAATATATAAGTAATAATAATTTGTTCAAAAATAAGATAAGTTTATAGTAATAACTTTACTTGACTTTTGAAAGATTAAATATTTTCTCTTGATTTTAAGAGTAAAAAAATTGTTTTATTTTTCTTGATTTATTAATAATAAACTTGAATTCTAAGTGAACTATATTTTTTGTAAAATATTGTGTGATATTATTTAAAAAAATTTTATTCTTGATTATTTTTTATTATTATAAATTACTTTTTGAATTATTTCTTTGGAAATTATTTTTTTTAAAACAATTTCACCTGAAGATACTGATCAATATAAATTTAATCACATTATTAATGATAAAAAAAGTTCTTAAAGAAAAAAATTAATTATAAAGTACTGGAGATTTTTTTTTAATCTTTGAAATAAAAAGTGGTTGCAGTAAAAAGAATTATTTTCTCTTAGAGTTTTCACTTTTTATTAATTGACAAACTATTTAATCAACTACTTTAAAAAAGATACATCCTTTATATGAACTAAAACTTCAAAGAAACTTTTGCATTAAAAAAGTTATAAAAATTCGAATAAAAAAAATTTTTTTCTATAATTTAATTAATTTTAATTTATATAATATACCAAATTAATAAATACTATAAATTGTCATATAAACCACTCCGGATCTGTTACTTTAAACCAAAAAGTTACAAAGAAAATTATTTGCAAAAAATGGAGAGCGAGTCTACTATAAAGGGGGGCGGTTTATGCGATATTATTTCTTAGTTTCAGAAATAAATAGGCTAATATGTAAAGGTTTATTAATAACCTGCAATCGTTGTCGCACAAAATATTTGTTGCAGTATATACAGACCATCCAATTTTAACAGAAAGATAAAAAATGTCTTCAATACCGACTCAACGCAAAAAAACTAGGGATACATCAATTTCTTCTTCCGAAAGTTCATATGATAATAACAAAGAATTCAGAAAGTCCACTTCTGTGATTAAATCCATTCTTAAAGGATTCCTAATTTTTGCTGTAGCATTCTTCTTAGGCTCTTATCTTATTACTGATACTTGGACTTGGGGATATAAGAACAAGTATACCAACTGGAGACGTTGGATTCCCGTACTAAAATCGTTCTCAAGACAGATCATTTTTCTTTTTAAGCATGCGAACTCTGAAATTTCTCTTCTTTTTTTTTTTTTTTGAATAAAACTAGCGTAAACAGATCGTTTTCACTGAAGAGGAGCTGGCTAGATATGACGGATCAGATCCTAATCTACCCATCTACCTTGCTATGAAGTAAAGTACACGTTACTTGTAAAAATACATGCAAATTTTTAATCATATCCAACTAACTCCTTTTATTTATAAAGCGGTGAAGTTTTTGACGTCACCGCCGGGAAGCAATATTACGGCAAGGTGATTAGCAGTAAATCAATTAATTGATGACACGTAATGAGATTAAATTTTACGTATGTACTGTACATATTTAGAATGCAGGTTATGGATTCTTTGCTGGAAAAGACGCATCACGTGCATACGTGACAGGATGCTTCAAGACTCATCTGACTCATGATTTGCGTGGATTGACACGTGAACAAATAAAGGTATAATTTCAAAAAAACGAATAAATTTTCAAAGTGTCAACATTAAGTTATTTTTTTTTTTCAAAAAGGACCTTGAAAATTGGGCATCATTTTATCGCGACCACCATTCTTATTTCAAAGTTGGAATAGTGGTTCATCCTCCCATTGATCCAAATTCCCCGATCCCTCCTCCCTGCAACGATGCTTCGGACCAAAAGTCTTGATTTTTTTCCGGTCAACATTGAATTACTTCTTTCTATGGAGAGACGGTTCTCCGAATTCGATGTATCAAAGTTTATTTGTAATTGGAATTGAAAATATCTTATCGTAATTAAATTATTGTAGTGAAGAGTGTTTCCTCTCAAATTCTTGCATGTATTTGATCAGAGTGTCAACACCCTCCAATGGCATCGCGTTGTATATACTGGCTCTGATCCCACCAACGCTCCGATGCCCCTTCAACTGTAACATTCCTAACTCCTCAGCTCCTTTCAAAAATTCTTTTTCTAATCCTTCCGGTTCAATTCTAAATGGTACATTCATTCTTGATCTAACACTCTCTTCGACCGGAGATTTATATATCTTCGAATTTTTAATGCAATCGTATAATCTCGAAGACTTGATGGAGTTGATTTTTTCGATCGCTTCAACCCCCCCATTTTCCAATAACCATTCGAATACCAAATCTGACATATATATGGCAAACATGGGGGGAGTGTTGTACAGAGAATTATGATCAGCCATGACTTTATAACTTAACATTGATGGAATCGCTGGAGCACCCATAGTAACGGGTTTAGGCATAGTCAATAAATCTTCACGAATTATTACAACGGTAACGCCCGCAGGTCCTATATTCTTCTGCGCCCCTGCGTAGATCACACCAAACTTTGAAATGTCTACTTTACGCGAAAGTATATTTGAAGACATATCACAGACCAGTGGTATGGATGGATCGATATCTGGTATGCGATTAAATTCGACACCGTTAACCGTCTCATTGTCACAATAATATACGTAAGCGGCATTTGGACCACTAAGGTTCCATTCTTCCTGTGGTGGAATCGAACCATATGAACCTTTCAACTTTTTTACATCTAAAGCTATGTTGACATTGTTATATAGCTTTTTCGCTTCTTCTGCCGCTTTTGCCGACCAAGAACCGGTAACTATGTAATCTAACGGCGGATTAATCTCTCCTTTTTCTTCATCTGCAATGTCATCGAACTGTTGCCTTTTGACCATTAACAGGTTATAAACTATAGCCGAGAATTGAGTGTGTCCGCCACCTTGCATAAATAGAATTTTATAATTATCGGGAATGTCGAGTAATGTGCGTAGATTCTTTTGTGCTTTATTGTTAAGATTCTCGAAGTCCTTTGAACGGTGGGATAGTTCCATAA